TCACCGCTTTCGCCTATCCAGGAGGCATCGTTCCAACCAAAGGCGGTACAAATGAGGATATCAAAGCCAGTCAATATAGGAGAAGTGATACAAACCTTCATTAATCTGAAATCAGTGTGTGTTTGTGTGTATCTGATTCACTAAGCATAGCGAACAAGATCCGGATTTTCAATACTAATGTCAAGTCATTCAATGCTTTCGTGTGTCTCACAGACTTAGCGTGAAAAGCATTCCCGATAGCTACTATAGTCTTTGATCAGCAGCTTCCTTTCTTGGATCTATACTGAAGATTTGATGGTTAGAAAGGATAAGTGGTCAACAAGGAATTCTGACAAAAAACCAACCAGGAACCTTTCGCCCAGCAAATATTCAGGAAGAAGTTTGGATAGATTGAACAAACACTGAGGATACTGTTGAGTAACATCACATGCGAGGCCAACAAATGGAACTCGAATAGCAAACGACGATTTGAGCACCTGAGAATGACATGGAAGAAGTCATGAGAGGAAGAGATCAAATGTTGTCGGATATTGTAGAATCAAAGTGACTAGGTCACAGAGGAAAAGATGAAATGGGAACATGCAGTTTTATCCCAATGTTGTACTTGAAACTCAATGAAACAATAATAATTTTATCATTTATCAACAAGCGTGCTAGGATGATGTTATAACTGATAGACAGTGTATTAAAGGAGTCATAGCAAAGTAGTGTGGACCGGTGCGATGTAAAATACTAACATGACTACTAGATCAGTGGATACTTATGAATTCAGAACCCATTTATACAATAACGGGCTAGGTCAGAGACCACTGTACTTAAATGTCTTAAACATCCTACCTGTAGTTTCTCTGTTACACCTTACATTAACACACACAAACTATCTCCGGAATCAGTTTAAGGTAGGGGAGTGGAGCCAAATATTTACAGTTCAAAGCATGGATGATGAAAAAATCCATCGTATAACCGGATAAAACATCAAATCATACTAAATTCGTGAGTTAAATACTTCTAAAGAATTCTACTCTTACTGGCATAAATATAATATAGTTCATATTATTTTTTTGTGCGGAAGTTATTAATATGAAAACAGATTTTCTGTAACTGGTATTAAATGATGTTGCAGAAAGACTCAATGAATATTTTCATGATAATTATGCTCTAGTAAGTAGGATTTCGAAGCTTATTTTGTGGTGTAATGGTGACTAAAAGTATTGCTGAGCAAACCAGTAACGTGACAATGATGGCACCATAAAAGTTCCAAGGGAAGGTAGTGACGTTTCAGACTTTGCTGAGCTACATGGTTCGAGGTCTAAAGACGTTAAAATAAGTGCTCTTCACGATTACCATCTTTTATCTGCCTCGATAAAACAATGTGTTCGTGCTCTGAAGAAGTTGCAGTATGAGACACTGAAAATTGATGTGCAGTTTTGTAAAGAACTCTTTCAGGTGGAAGCCAAATATGATGTTCAGCACTAGCAACTATTTTCCAAGAGACGGGGTATTGTAGCAAGGGTTTTTGAACCGAATGATGAAGAGTGTGACTGGTCAACTGATGATGAAGATGTGGATAATCTCTCGGGAAATGTTTAAGAAAAATTTATAGTGTTCAAACAAACAGAGGATAAAGCTCTTGAAGCAGGAAGCAAGGACATTCCAAACTTTTGGCTAGAAACACTGCAGAACATTTCTCTGTTTGGTAAAATGGTTCAGGAACATGACCGTGGCATACTTAAACACCTGGTGGACGTCGAATACGCCCTCAGGATAGGTGGAGAAGCAGGATTCACACTTGAATTCTACTTTTCTCCCAACGTAAAACTTCACAAACGATATATTGACAAAATGATATTATGAAATCCCAACTGATGATCCTTTCGGATACAAAGAATCAGAGATTATTCGTGCTAAAGACTGTGTGATTAACTGGAATCCAGCGAAAAATGTAACTGTAAAATTGGTGAAAAAAGTTCAAAAACGAAAAATTAAGGGTGCTAAAAGAACTGTCACGAAAAGTGTCCGTGAAGATTAATTCTTCAGTTTCTATTCACCTCCCGCAGAAAGTCTCCCTGATGATTAGGATGAGGACACAGAGTTGTTACTAGAGTCAGATTTCAAACTTGGTCAATTTCTAAGAGAGAGGGTCATCCCCAGAGCAGTACTTTACTTTTTTGGGAAAGCAGACGATTCGAAGTATGATGACGATGATGGACGAACATAATGACGACAATGAGGACGATGACGATGAATATGAGAAAGAAAATTCCCATTCACGTGCTCGAAATCCAGTCAGTGTATAGTTGAATATTATTAAAAAAACCAGCAGTCATTTCTTTTCTCTTTTGTGACCAGTAATGAGGTGACTGGGCCAATAGAAGAAAAACCCGTACAAATTTGAAATATATATATCAAGTACCAGCAGTTGATTTAAGTTGTTTCAAAGTACTTACTTAGGACATTAGTAGTAATGAAAACAAAACACGTAGATCAGCGAAGAGTCTCTTTTCGGCGGATTCATTTTCTTAGCTGTACAATCGCAAATATATTTGTGTTGTTTTGTATGTATGTGTACATTAAGTTTGTCAAACAAAATTACAATTGGTTAACGTGATTTCAACTAAACAGGTGAAGGTTGGTAGTACGAGTCAAGAAAATTAAGTGTTAATGAAACTAGGGTAGTAACAAAGGTGATGAGTTGCCACAAACAGTTGTTAAAAGAAGTTATATAATAGTAATATGAATAGTTTGATGAGTGAGTTTTACTCAAAATGCACATAGAAACAAAGTAGATAATACGAAATTATGTAAGAGATCTAAGTGAATACAAGGGTTATAAGCAATTAAAGAACAGGCAAAGAAACAAAATTAAGTCATCAAAATGAAAATTAAAATTAAAAACTCAAAATAAATCAAAACATTGTTACCATGAAAGTAGAAGTGGTTGTGTAGTCTTCTTTTGTATGCACAGCTCCGGTTTTTCTATGTGAATGGCCAGAGCTTCAGCGATACAATGGAGACGAAACCCTATTGCCTTTGATAGGTCATTCTTGACTCTGTAGATTAATTTGAATGAGGCGTTTGTTGAAATGCAATGATCAGTGTTAACCAAGTGTTCAACTATCGCACTATTGATTGCACCACTATCGCCTTTTCGTAACCATGCTGGATAGTGTTCTTGAATCCTCTTGGACAGGATGCGCGTAGAACGACCGATTTACCTGGCTCCACAGCAGCAGGTGAACTGATATATGTATATAGAAGTGGCCAGATGCGGGATCTTGTCCTTGAGGTTTCTGCAGATCAGTGGGCGACTGGAGAACACTATTCTTAGCGTTGCTGCAGAGAATGTTCTTCTCAGAGATGATGTGATCCTCCTCTTGAGAATACTGCTTGCTAAATCTCCCTTGAAATCCAAGTTCATGTATATTTTCCTTTTAGGCGCAATTAAAGTTTCGTTTCTCCGAATTATTGGTTTCATATTTTTTGTCGATGAATCACATTTTTGATGACTTAATTTTGTTTCTTTGCCTGTTCTTTAATTGCTTATAACCCTTGTATTCACTTAGATCTCTTACATAATTTCGTATTATCTACTTTGTTTCTATGTGCATTTTGAGTAAAACTCACTCATCAAACTATTCATATTACTATTATATAACTTCTTTTAACAACTGTTTGTGGCAACTCATCACCTTTGTTACTACCCTAGTTTCATTAACACTTAATTTTCTTGACTCGTACTACCAACCTTCACCTGTTTAGTTGAAATCACGTTAACCAATTGTAATTTTGTTTGACAAACTTAATGTACACATACATACAAAACAACACAAATATATTTGCGATTGTACAGCTAAGAAAATGAATCCGCCGAAAAGAGACTCTTCGCTGATCTACGTGTTTTGTTTTCATTAATTCCTGGATGGGGATTATTCTTGAATTGAAACATTATTAGTAATATTTTCTATCACTCTCTTTTGCTGCCATTCTCGGTTCTCTTTTGCAGTATAAAGGAAATCATATCTTATGATCTGAATATTCCTGGTTTCTGATGGAAACTATGGTGAATTTCCATCCACAACTATATAAATTGCAAATGCTATCATAATTATCAGAAATGGATCACCAATAGTAATATAGTGTTTCTGCTCTACGATAGTCAACTATTTGACAGTATTCAGACATCATAGACCTTTAAGTTGACATATCCATGTGCCATACTTGGGAATAGTACAGTCTCCATTGTGACCTGATTAGTATTAGATTTGTCAGTGATATACGAACAAGTCATAAGCAATGTGATGAAGCATAGTTTCATGTTAGCTTGCTTATATGATATAGCAGGTACTGACATAATATTACTTACTGTATGATATTGTGAGCACAATTTATGGCTCACATATCATATGAAAATGATCAATACAACCTCTAAAAGCTGTACGATTTCAAAATAATTCGTTTACACTAAAATAGCATCCTTCCAATGCTTACACACTTAGAATCTGAACCAAGGAGAATTCATGCATAGCGCAAATGAGGAAAATATTTAAAATAGTACAAGAAAAATACTACTTCACTACTCATTAGTTCTTAAGAGTATTTCTTGTCAATAAGAGTAATCCTTCATCAAAATCCTTTATCATAGAAGACATTTATAGTACAAATAGTTGTAATAATAGCCCACCCGGTAAATTAATTACATGCATGAATCAAATTAGTGCATCAGTGGCACAGCGGGGGAATGCTTGCCAATCAAGCATATGGTCCGGGGTTCTATCCCATACCAACGCACTCCTTTACCTCACTAAGTCAGTAATAAGACTGGTAAAGAGGGGAGGTTGGGCATAAGGCTAGCAAACCCATCCCGTAAAAATGAACCGAGACTTCAAGACTATAGCTTGAAGCCTTACTTTCCACTGGGAACGTAAAGAAATAGAAAAATGAATGAAATTATCTTGTAATTAGCTTCCATGTTTAATACAAAAAAAGTCGTATTAACTCACATTTTATAATGTTCTCGACAAAAAACTGAATCATTTTTCACAAAACATGTTTTCTCCCATTGTAGTGTAATACCGCATTTAAAGCATCTTAAACAATTTAGATGCCAGTATTTATTATCCATGCTCAAGAATAATTTATCCTGAATACTTTCATAACATCCAGTACAAGATAAATTCGGTGTTAAATGTTGATTGAATGCATGAAATGTCGGTGGATGATTTGTTCCTAATCCCAGTCCTGTTGTTGACGTAAAAGATGATGTTATTGATGAGAATAATGATGGTGACCAAATTTGTTCTGCATAGTTATATAAACTGGAGATATTTAATCCTGTTATATCATTTGATAGATTTGTATAACATAATGAAGGCAATTCATAGTTGTTATGCGGATGGCCAGTTTCGCTTGATTTGATTTCATCATTTGTTATAGGCAAAAGATGATCATATAACAAGGATGACTCTAATCCATTTGATTTTGATAAGAAATTTGCACACTAAAAGGTTGAAAGTTTAAGAATGATAATATTGTTATTATTCTAAAATAGATAAAAATGAATTTAATGTAATTTAATTTCTTAATTGAAATGAAGGAAAAAGTTGTATGAGTAACCTGATATGATTATGAGCAATAGTTTGTGCTCGAAACGCGGTCATCAGTTAATATTACTGTGCAACACTGCATGACTTATCAAAATAAAATCTTATCCATAATAGAGTTATACTCCACCACAGTGCCCAAGTTTTATATTTATATCCTCTTCGCTACCATTTGTAATAATGATTTAAGAACAAAGAATTAAGAATTTCAATTGCTCCTAAAGATATTAAAATGATAAAAACAAATAATCACTGAAACTGGAGAGTTTAGCTTGACACTTTCTTACAAACTTACTTCTTCACTTGTGATTCATTTGTTTCAAAAATGATTGAAATAGGTCACATAGAAATTTTCTTTAACGCAAGTCTTATACTTTCTAGCAATGATCAGCTATACATATCTCTCTGCCTGAGGAGACTTATGTTCGTCACTACTCAGATATTTTATGAAAAAGCCGTTCACATCACCAGTGAACCATTCGTAAGCCTAAATAATATACACAATATCTATAACCCGAAAGAAACTGGTAAAAGATATCTATCTATTTAATGTTGACTACAAAACACCTGATATCCAAGGTGAACTACTTACATTATGCATTTTTGAACTAATAATGAAGCAAAAATAGATGGGGCCGAATGGTATTTACAAGTTTCTTGGTCACATATTTGTTTATTTTTCCCGTGAACCATTTATGGGATATTTAAAACAGTAATAACTGTAGGGAAAATAGTTAAAGTTGTTTAGGACTATATTGAATTAAGTATAGGAAAGATGTGAGGATAGGTACTCACTAATGGTATTAGTTCGCAGCGGTGCTATATTATCACGAAATGATGGAATTTAAAATTCGTCAACCATTGAATTCTGAACTAATAAATAAAGAGTAAGATTCTTGCCTCACAACTAGAAGTTTCTTGGTTTTTATTCCTGGTTGGGTTATGTATATTTACCGATGAAGAGCCGTAAACTAGGACGAAACAGTTGTCCCGTACTCTTTGGTCCACTAAATGATATCCTTTAGTGATGAATTATACCTCGAAACAAGTCAAATTACTACAAACTATGTTGTTGTTTACGAGGTTCAATAGTCTTTGTTGATTTACTTATCATTATATCAACTGCTGATCATTATTACAGACCTAAACTATTTGAGTAAATAACGATCATGATAATAATTAATTGTGATTATCTAAGCACAATTATAAATTCTGAATAATACTGAAAATAGAAATAATGATGAAAGTAATAACAGTGTGAAAAACAACATAGTAGAAAGTGATATGGAATTGTTTATGAGATTAGTATTTTCCGAATATGACAATTTTACATTGGACCAGTCGTAATATGCTACTTTCAGTGCTTAATGTTCTATCTCGTTATCTTAAATTCCCTGCTCTCTGTATTGGGCAACAACTCCCATTTCTCTTTTGTCAATCTGTTCATGTGATTTTAACCAAAGACATTACAATGAATTCTATCTGTAAGACAATTATTGTGTAAATTTTTAGTCTGTACCAGTCTGTACTTCATTACTAGCTAATTTTGTAGCTTATTTGCTAGAGTGTTCAACTTTTAACCCAGAAGCCCATGGTTTAAAGACACCCATGACAGAGATTTTATTTTCAGATTCTGTTATCCCCTCCCCCAGTTATCCTAACCAGAGTAGAAAATATGATGACCGCTTTCCAATTACGAGGTGTATGACTAAACCATCTGAACTTAGTCAGTCCAGAATCCCCAGAGATAAGCACTCGTGTTTACGCTGAGTAGCTCCCAGTTACTTACACTAACTATTAGTATATAGCGTGTTGTATAGTAATGTCTTGTAATAAACTAAAGAATAGATATTTAACTTTATAACACTAAATACTATTTAGTAGTTAACTAGTTTCTCCAATGTGCACATTACAGTACTTCTGATCACAGTATGTGATCTGCCTGATGTAATGAGTGGCAATCAAGAAAAAAAGCATAACTGCGTGACACTATCTACCATCGATTGATTCAGATGAATAGTTGTACACATTTACACATCAACTAGCAATACCCGCTAGCCAAATCGAAGTGATCTAAACACCGGATAACCGTTTCGCTCATTTTGGACCGAGCTCTTCAGCAATGTACCCCGCCTAACTTAGCTAGAAACCGGGTGATTTGAGCTGACTTGGTTGCCTTGGCTTAATCGAACCAAATGGCCAGATGATGAGTCTAGCGCCAAACGGACGAAACAACCGTCCAATGTTTAGACCACTCCGATATGGCCAGCAGGCAATACTGATTGATGTGAGTGGTGTACTACTACTCACTACTGTCGATCAGTAGTATACAGTTGCAGTCAGTGTATATTAATGAACTAAAAGCGTCATGTATTGGTCGATCTGCCAAATAAACTTCAACAGATATACACAAATCAAAGATGAAAAATGATAACTAAACTAAATGAATATACGCGCACATAAATTCACATAAACACAACAAAACACAAACATGAACGTAAATGGCTATTAAAAAAACCAGGCATATTGTGGTATCTACAATTTACAGATCTTTACAATTAAATAAAAATAAAATGTACGATAAAAAATAATTTTATGATCTGAGAAAAAAAGAAGAGGTAATATCTTTCCATTCTGTGTAGATTTAACTACATTTTATTTGCTTCTTTCTGTGATACAGCCTGTTCTTTTTTCTTATCTATTTTCGCCTTTCAATTTATCTTATCACCTGCCTTGTTTTTGTTGACCAACTAGTTTCATTACCACTTTACGCGTCTGTGCAGTACAGTATGCTTGCATGTGATGAAGTAGAAATTCTGTATGCACGGCATTCATCGAATACATCCGACCATCGACACTATCATTTGGTGTTGTTATAAGTTCGTCAAATGACTTTATAATAGAGAATACACTCCATCTAGTTCTCTCCCTTTTAAGCTTAAAAGTCCTGGTCAAATATATGTCGGTTAGACTACATATATATATATATATATATATATACCATATAGGAAGAGAGGGAAATAAAACAATCTACAGAAGGTTTAGACCATAAAGAGAAGCAACTTGGAAACTGATAAAGAGATTTAATCTCATGTATAACCAGTTCATTTAAGTAGCTAGTCGAAATCCGGTTGGCTTGAACTGATTCAACTCCCTGAGCTTTATTTCTAGTTTTTGATGTCAAGTTACACTGTATCATAGTGCTCTGTAATATTGCGCAACTTGATTTAGCACCTATAATCGAACGGCTAAACTGTTCATTGTCTCAAGATTAATTCACACGCCGACTATATAACATCAGAGATATACTGAATTCGGAGGGGATGGGGTGAGCATTAATGTTAAAACTTTATGCAATAACTACTTGATAATAAACTAACTTGTACGATGAAAAGATGAAAGTTGAATGATTCCCTACCTAAGCTTTTTCTGTGAGAAAACGTCAGACAAATTTCAAAAAGACTGAACAAATCTAAACGTTACAGTATTTCAGCGTCAGTGGCACAGCAGTAGAATGTTCGCCAACCAAGCAGGTGGTTCGGAGTTCAATCTCAGGCCGACGCACTCTTTTACCTCGCTAGGCTGGTAATACGATCGGTAAAGAGGGAAGGTTGGGCATGACGCTTGCAACCCCATCCCCCAAAAATAAACGCCACTGCTATAGTAACTTCAAGACTCTAGCTTGAAGTACTATGTTCCACCAGAAATGTAAAGGAATCAAAAAGAACAACAATATTTCAGTGATACTTATAGTCACAAATAAACAAGAGTTGTAATCACACTTTCAATTCTGTCTACATTGTTCAAAGATGTGCTTGTTGTGGTCAGTCTTCAGGCAACTATTTATTTATAGTTATAATTAGGATGCGTGTAATAAAAGTTTATTGTTATGCATAAAATGTGAGATGTTGACGTGTATAAGGTATTTAAATAAAAATAAGGAGACAACCTTAAACTGTTCAGTTTAAACACTTTAAGCATTCACTGAAAAACAGATAATTATTTTCATAAATGTGTCCTCCAAATAACTGTTTAGGCAAAGAATATTTCACTGTTACGAATCTTCATAATATTCATTCAGAACATAATCACTCAATGAGGAGAAGTTACAACTGGCTGGAGTATCCCTAATGGAATAAAACGTATATCCGACATTCCGTTACTAGTGGCTACAAATCAAATTATCTGGAATTCTAGTGAGAAGTCGTATTTAGTGAGGTCCAGCAAGTTTGGTAAGAGGGTATTTACTCGCCCGTGACAGTGGCTAGCAGCTGTGCTAAAGATATCACGAAATGGCAGAAGTTGGAAGTCATGGACTCTTGAGTCGGGTCTCAGTAGCTTAGTGGTTTACGAGCTCCACTAGTGACCGTAAGGTCCTAGATCTGAATCCCGGTGGGCGCTTACTGTTGAAAATTTCCAAACTAGGCCGAAACAGCTGTATAGTACTTCCGGTTTTTCCAGTGGTTCTATGACCGATGTCAACTTGTGGCCGATCTTGTAACCGATCAGTTACCTGCAAACCAACACTGGATAAATAACATTAAGTTAACTTTAATGTATTATTTAAACATCCATACTGGGAGTCAATTTGTTAACGCAGGGCCAGTATCTTATTCCAACGTAATCAACAAGTGGAAAAGTCAACCTTCGGTCTATGAATATTCATCCTCGTTTATGCAAGGATTTGGGAATATGGACTAGTACGTCTCACTACGGTTTAATGCGAATAAATATAGGAGAAATAGGTGATTTTGACCAGACTGTTTTTCGAAAATCATCGTATTCAGAAGGACACTTGAATTTCAAATTATCACAGTCATAATGTGTGAAGGCGGTCTCGATGACCTACTTGAGGTATTATGCTAACTGCAATACATGAGAGAAAAACTATTTGTAA